CGGCTCCCTGTGAAAAGTGGCCAGAGGGGCCCCAGTGGTACCGACTGTGCAGGAGGCAACAGGCTCGTCCAGTGGGAAAGTGGTGACTACACCTAGGTCGTGGAGGTGACTGACACCCACCAGGTTCCTAGAGAACGAGGGGGTGTAGTAACGTGTAAGAAAACCTGAGGGAGCCGCCGGACACGGGAGAGTGGTGGTGCTGCGAGCAACTACACGTCCCACAGAGGGGTCAGCTAAGGCGACAGTGACTGGAGTGCGCAGTGGTGTGAGGTCAGTACAGTCGCGAAAGAAACAGCTCGACGCTCCAGAGTCTAGGGTGAAGGAAAGCCGTGCAGTCTGTGGGGTCGCACCCAAACCAGCTACAAAGGCTAGTGCTAGACTAGTGGTAGCTGCAGCTCCTACACCAAAGACCCTCAGAGGCGCCTGGACTGGAAGCAAGACACGCACCAAGAATGGAAACATAGGTCTCTACTCGTGCAGCCGGGAACGGTCCTAGACCAGGTAGGTGAGACTCAACTAGTGCAGCAGTGCGCTGGCGAAGTCGCGAGGGCCAGTGCGGTGTAATAGCGTGAGGACCAAAACGCTCACGGTGAAGGTCGTCGAGTCGACGGTAGCAGCTGGACGCAGAGTGATCAGGACTTCAGCAGGTAGTGCCAGCACCAGGGCCTGTCAGGGCCCGGTACCCGCAGGGGCCGACGTCTCGCCCACTGCTAGCTGAGCCACTGCTGAGGGCTCCACACTTTGGACCCGCAGGTCCCCACTGCCGGGAGTGCTGCGGCTGGCCCTGCTGCTGTAGGACTCGAGTACAAGCCATGTGAGTAGCTAGAAACGGGGGTGGTGCTGGCATGTGGGCCTAAACTGATGTTGGTGGTAGGCTATCCTGCTGCTGGTGCACTAGCGGTAGTCTAAGTTGCTGCTCGAGCGCTGGGGCAGCCTAAACTGCTGCTACTGGTGCTGCTGGTACAGGTGGGGCACCGGGTGCGGTTCTATGCGGTTATGTGCAGTTCAGTGCGGTTCTGCGGGGTGGAGAGTAACGGGAGGGGCGGCTGATTCCGGGTGAGGTGATTGGAACTGGTGGGGCAGCAGCTCTGACTGGTACAGGTGTGGCAGCGGGTGCGGTTCTGTGCGGTTATGTGCAGTTCAGTGCGGTTCTGCGGGGTGGAGAGTACCGGGTGGGGCGGCTGATTCCGGGTGAGGTGACTGGAACGGGTGGGGCAGCAGCTCTGGCTGGAACGGGTGGGGCAACAGGTGCGGTTCTATGCGGTTCTGTGCAGTGGGGAGTACCGGGTGGGGCGGTGTAAGTTGCTGGCTTTGCTAGGGGGTAGTTCAAGTTGCTGCTGGTGTGACTGGCGGCAGTCTAAGTTGCTGGTGGTGCTCCTGGCGGTAGACTAGGCTGCTGGCGACGGGTGGGGAAGGTAAGGCGGCGGTTCTGTGCGGTTCTGTACGGTTCTGTACGGTTCTGCGTGATTCTGCACGGTTCCGTGCGGTTCTGTGCGGTTATGCACGGTTCTGTGCGGTTCTGTGCAGGGGAGGGTACTGGGTGAGGTGACTGGAACGGGTGAGGTTGCAGATATGGCTGGGGCGGCGGGCTACAGGTGAGGCAGTGGGAACGGGTGAGGGCGGCAGAACTGGTAGGGGCGGCCTGTTAAAGGTGGGGCGGCAGAGCTGGGAAGGGGCGGCTATTCTGGCTGTGGCGGCTTGCTAAGGCAGTGGGGACGGGTGGGACGTCGAGCTACGGGGAAGGCTGTGGGGCGGGTTGCAGGTGGCGCGGCGCGCAGGCCACACGGGCTGCTGTGCGAGCGGACGGGCGAGCAGTTGCGCGTGCTGCTGTGTGTGCCGTCGCACGCGGCTGCGCGCGCGACCGTTCGTACGGGTGCGTGCGACTACGCGAGCGGATGTACGGTCAGCGCGACGGGGGGGAAAGGTAGGGCGCGACGGGGCAAAACGGGCAGGTCGCGACGAGGGGGGGGGAGAGTAACGACGCGACGGATCTGACGGGTGAGGCGACGGGAAAACGGGTGGCGCGCGGGGTACGGGGCACTACGAGACACGGATTGACGGGGCGCTACAGGCTAATGCGCTTCGGGCTAGGGCACGTTACGGGGCGGTGGGCCCATGGGATCTTTCTATCGCTCTATACCATGTCGAGTTACAGAAGTATAAGTGTTTACTAAGTTAAGTGAAAACAAGCAAGATATAACAAGCATAACCCTAACCCTAGGAAAATATGAAGTACACCTAGACTAACACAAATAAGCTATAACAAATATAGCTTGACAGCGCTCAGCAACCCCATTTCGCTGCGGTGAGCCCGGAAGCGTGAACAACTGCTCGATGCCCTCCCCCTGACAGAAGGCCCGCAAGAGGTCGGAGGTGAACTCACCATCTCCGTCAGAGTGCAGACGCAGGACAGGCAGGTCTTGGCAGAACCTGCGGCGGAGCTGGAGACTAACTGCTCGGATCCAAGGGATCAGGACAGCAGGGACCTCACCCTTGGTGCGCAAGGGGAAGACCGTGGTGTAACGTGAGTAGTCGTCGACAACCAGTAGAAAGTACCGCTCACCACCCTGACCACGAACGCGGGCTGGGCCCCACACGTCCAGGTGGACGGTCTGCAGAGGAGCTTCTGTCGGGGGAAACGAGGAGGAGTGAGGAGCGTCGCGCTGCCGCCCCTCGATGCAAGGAAGGCAGGGTGGCGCAGGCGAGGCAGGAAGGGGAGGGAGAGGCCTGGGAAGACCAGACACAAGGAGGCGACGGTGCATGCCACGGAGACGTGGCAAGGAGGAGTGACCCAGGCGGTGGTGCCAGAGAAGATTCTTGTGCGACAGGGAGCGACACGAACAAGGGGAGGCTACCTGACCTGACGCAGACACCTGACCAGTAGCAGCTACCTGAGGGAACGCAGTAGTCGGTGTGTAAAGACTCGACCCTGGCCGACGGGTGAACGTGGCCAGGTGACGGCCAGTCCGGGAGCACGTACAGATCGCCACACGCTGTCCTCGAGGGGTAAAGGTATCAACCCATGCATCCTGGAGGACTGCGTTGCTCACCAGGTTCGTAGAGAACGAGGGGAGGTGAAGACCTGACAGTGAGCCAGACGGAACCGCTGGGCACGGAAGCACAGTAGAGGACCGTGCAAGAACTGGGCCCCCTGAGGGGTCAGCCAGAGACACTGCAATAGGTGCAGGGAGTGGCGTGAGTGCGGTACTGTCGTGAAAGAAACAGCGGGAAGCACCTGAGTCAAGCGTGAAGGTGTGCAAGGCCTCAGCAGGCGTAGTAACTGAGAGAGCAGACTCGCTAGCACAAGGCAGCAGCCTCACTAGCACCTAGAGCGGCAACCTCTATACCAGGATCGTACTGCACACACAGGTAACAGTCACCCTCAGCACCACCAGGCAAAGCATACATAGCAGTAAGGATGGCGTCATAGTCCAAAACAAAGACATCAACGCCCGACCTAAGCAGCTCAAGCCAGAGGGGGATCTCAGCCTCGTCGCCAAACTCTGCGTGCCAGGCGTCACTCAAATAGGCGAAGCAGCGGGACTGTGCATAACCAGGTGTCCCACAGGTCTGACCAACTCGACGACCTGTGCAAATGACGTACGGGCAGCGACCAGGACTCGGAGACGTCCCACGCTGGTAAAACCACTCACGAAGCTGCTGTGACGTAAGGGTCGGACGCCGCCGTAGCTGCATCTAGCCACCGCCAGAAACTCCGCACCAAACAACGCCACTGTGACTGCTACTACGGCCGCCACCACTCCCACTCTTGCCACCACTGCCGTCACCACTCGCACCGCTGCTACAGAGTGAAGTCATGGCGGGCAAGCTAGGATGAGCGCGACCTCTAGGGTACTACGGAGTGAAGGCAGTAGCACGAGGAGTAGCAGCAGCAGTAAGAGCAGCAGAGCGGCTCGGTGAAGCTAGGCTGCATCACCTCCAGCACTCCTAGCAGCACCTCCACCAGCAGCAGCAGTAGCACGAGCAGCAGGGCGGATCGGGTCGGGTAGGGCGGCTCGGCTCGGCCTGGGCGGCGCGGGCAGCAGGGCGCGCGCTGTGCAGGGCAGCAGGGCACGACGCGCGTGCTGCAGCAGGGCGCGACGCGCAGGGCAGCAGGGCGCGACGCACGGGTTGCAGCAGAGCGCGACGCGCGGGGCAGCAGCGCGCGACTCGCGGGCTGCCGTAGGGCGCGACGCGCGGGGCAGCAGCGCGCGACGGGCGGGCTACCATAGGGCGCGACGCGCGGGGCAGCAGAGCACGACGCACGGGGCAGCAGAGCGCGACGCGCGGGCTGCCGTAGAGCGCGACGCGCAGGCTGCCGTAGGGCGCGACGCGCAGGGCAGCAGGGCGCGACGTGCAGCTGCAGCAGGGCGCGGGCTGCAGCAGGACGCAGTGCAGGGCGCTGGCGCAGGGCAGGGCAGGGCGCTGGCGCAGGGCAGGGCAGGGCGCAGGCGCAGGGCAGGGCGCTGGCGCAGGGCAGGGCAGGGCGCTGGCGCAGGGCAGGGCGCTGGCGCAGGGCAGGGCAGGGCGCTGGCGCAGGGCAGGGCAGGGCGCTGGCGCAGGGCAGGGCAGGGCGCTGGCACAGGGCAGGGCGCTGGCGCAGGGCACGGCAGGGCGCTGGCGCAGGGCACGGCAGGGCGCTGGCGCAGGGCAGGGCGCTGGCGCAGGGCAGGGCGCTGGCGCAGGGCAGGGCGCCAGTGCGCGCAGGGCAGGGCAGGGCAGGGCGCGCGCTGACAGCGCAACGCAGGGCAGGGCGTGGGGTAACGCGGTAACCGTAGTCGATCACTAGGTAATGGTGGGCCCGAAAAAAAACGGTCCTACGGACCTACTGCTCTGAAACCATGTCAGAATCAACCAGCACATATATGGTTTGACAATAGGCCCTGCTGATGCACTAAAACCTACCGCATCAGAGGGCCTGGTCTGGTCTCAATTCTATCAACAGTATTGCATCAAATTGGATAGAAACATGGCAATACACTATTGAATACAGGCGGTCATTATCTATCAAGATCCTCCAACCCCTCCCCTGAATCCACAAGTGCGTCAACTTCCTCTCCACCACCCGGTGCTTGAGGTGCATCCATGCCCTCTTCAAAGTGCACTGCTGCAGAGTCCAGGGCACCTTCCTCCAGTAGCTGTGAGCGCATGGCATGGCGCCGTCGGTACTGGTGGCGCCAGAGAAGCAAGAGTGGCACCATGAGGCCGAGGAATACCAGTGCCCCAGCCCCGCATATGGCCCCTGCCACCACACCCGTGCGACTGGAACGAGAAGGAGCAGATTCAGGGGCGGCTTGCGACCCTGCGGTCTTCTGCTGTGCTTGAAGCTCTGCACCCATGTCAGTTTTGGATGATGTTGGAAGGGAGAGAGCAAAAGCGGGGTGGGGGGGGGTAGCGGGTGGTTTGCAAGAGAGCACGACTAACAGCGGGGTAGCGACACCGAGAGGCAGAGAGTGGGAGAGAGTGAGAGGAGGTACACTCCACGAATAACAACTGCGAGATCAAGGGGGTAATAAGGGGAGAGGGAACTATCTGAGACAAGTTAACCTGAGACGGCTTTTACCCTGGACGCGGCTTACCGGAGACGACGTTTTCACGGGGGACGTTGGCGCGCACGACTTCAATGACCTCGATGCTGCTGATGAGGGGGCTGAGCCTGCTGCCGTTGCACGCCACCAGCCGCACCTCCAGCGTGGGCGCCGACCCAATGGCAGGCCGGCTGAAGCCGACGACGACAGGCAGCGTGACGAGGCGGTTGTGCTGCCCGTGGGCCTCACGCAGGATGTCAAAGCTGCTCACACTCACGCCGTTCACGTGGATGTCAAACACACGCTCGCCCACGCGCGACCCCGGCTGCACCGCCGCGAAATGCAGCAGCACCACCCAGCGGTTGAGGCGCGCCGGCACGCGGAATGAAAACGAGTAGTGCAGCCCGCTCGCCAGCACCGCCTCGCGCGCCGTCTGCAGCAGCGCCTGCGCCAGGAACAGCGGCGCCTCGCCCGCCCCGCTGACAGGCAAGGCAGTGTGAAGAGACTTTGGGGGCGCCACTGCAAATCGGGTTGCAACCCCCATGGGTTGGTCCAGGCCATTGGGAGCGATCTGTGAGAGGTCACTCACCCAGCGCCTGCCCACAGCGTCCATGAGGCCGCGCCCGTCTGGTGCCATCGCGAGCATGGACGCCGCGAGCGACTGTTTGAAGAGGTCAAACCCCCTCGCCGTGCCATTGCTCACACCACCCCACACGTCCCCACTCACCTTAGTTCAGAAAGACGCGTCCTGCGTCCTGGACGCATGCGTCCAGACGCATGCGTCCAGACGCAGGACGCTGACCCTTGACCTGTAAGACGCACCAAAAGACGCAAGCCCGGGCAGGGCAAAAAAAATCCCCGGGCAGGCCAAAAAAAATAGTATAGGGCTTGGGAGAGGGGGGGGGGGGGGGGGGGTGTCATACCACAAAATTTTCCCCCAAAATTTGAGATTAAGGTGAGTCACGTGTCACACATTTCACAGAAGGAATGCTCGAGGAAGCCATAGCGGAGTTTAGGTGGTAAGCTAAGCTAAGACCTAAAACCTCTATGGGTTTACGAAAGAGAATTGGTGAGGGGAAAATGAGAAGCCACAAAAGGTTGCCATGCTAAATGTGCTTGGTGGTGGTGGGCTACAAAGGTTGGGATTCGTAGATGCTAAGTGGTTGAGAGGTTTGAGTGAAATTCAATTTTGGTTTAGTTGTTAGGGAATGTTAGGGGGGCTGGTTTTGAATGGCGAATTGGGCTTGGGGTGGGGAAATTTCGCGATTTCGACATTCGCGTCGAAATCGCGAATGCCAAAATCGCGATCGAAATTTTTTTTTTCGGGCTGCCCGAAAAAATTTTCGACGTGCGTCCTGCGTCCTAGCGTCCGGACGCTGCGTCCGGACGCAGGACGCAGCGTCCTAGCTGCGTCTTTCCGAACTAAGCCACTCACTCTCCCCTTCGTCGTCGAAGGCGACAAGGCCGTCCCCACGCCCTCAGTCAATGATTGGCTAGGTGGTTCAGTGTTGCCTGAGTCGTTGGCGGCGGCGCGGCCACAGTCGATGCGGGCGCGCACGGCGAGGAAGGCGTTGGGGGGGGGGACGGAGGGGAGGAGGTAGAAGGCAGCGGGCACAGGGAGGAGCTCGATGGAGTTGACGAGGGCGTGGCCCCACACGGGCAGGAAGCAGAGCGTGAGAGAGGCATCAGCGCTGTCGATGATGTACTCGGGCTCGTACACCGCCCCCACGTGCCCAGCCATGCTCACCGTCTCCATCTGCACGCCCTCCACCAGCACCGCAAACCGCGGCCACCGGCCCTTGTGTTTGTCCTTGGGAGTCCTGTTTGCGGGGTCGATGTCGCGAGAGCTGTGCACAGCCCCCCCTTGGCCCACGCGGTCGTCGTCCTGCGGCGAAGCAGAAATGGCACTGCCATGCCCATCAACCGCAACAGCATGCGGGGTGGAAGCACCAGGGCGAGCACTGGGATCGGTGGTGGGTTGGCGGGGCGCATAGGAATCCGTGGAGCGGTGACTGACGGCGTCTGGAGCATTGGAGGCGGAGAGGGAGGAGGTGGTGACGCCCTCGTCGCTGTGCACCTCCAGCGGAGGGCTCAAGTCCCGCTGCGCGCTCGGCAGCGTGTCGCTGTGGTAGGCGAAGGCGAGGCGCACGATGAAGCGGCCAGGGGAGAGCGGGATGTCATAGCAGCTGACGTCGTTGGCGCGGAAGACGCGCTGCGAGCGCAGCTCCGGAGTGAGGGCGAGCGGCATGGACGCCAGCACGGACGCCGGCTGGCCGCCCACGAAGAAAGCGTCCGCCTCCCACACCCGCCCGTCCCTCCCCACCACCCGCTCGCTGCTGCCACAGTTTATCCGCACCGCAGATGCTGAGCGAGGGGAACGGGGGGGGGAGGAAGGAAGGGGTGGTGGTGTGGAGGGGGGAAGGGGGGGAAGCGAAGAACACCAGATAAGCATGCGAACGAACATGGGGGAGCTGTGAAGGGCAGCAACGAATGCGCGGACAGGTCCACGCTTACCAGAGGGTGCAGCGGGTACTGCTGAAACTGCGACTAGGCGATGTAGCAAGGCTAGAAGGAAAGCGGCGAGCGACAGGCGTGGCATGACGCCACGCCATCTCTCCATCCATCCGCTGCCACCCGCCCCGCGCCACGACTGCTGATGCTGCCTTACTCGCATCGAATTTAATTTGAGTATGACCGGGCCATGGCGCAATTCCGCCGTGCTGTGGCATGGCCGTGTGGCCATGTGGGCCTTCACACGTGCACACAGCCGACACGACGAGCAGGGGAGCGAGTGGTCGCGCGGACAGTGAGAGGGTGCCTGCATCCACGTGAAAACGACGACAGCGAGGCGCACTGAGAGTAAGGACACTAAGCAAGCACGGAAATGAGGGCGACAGAGCAAGCGGGAATGAGACAGTCACGATGTCGGTTGACTGCGCCACGATCCAATCATACACCCCGCGTCGCATCTTCATCGCGCTAGATTCCTATGCGCCCATCCCCGTATCCGCCTTTACCTCTCGCGACGTCTCGCATTGAACCGCACTCGCCAAGTTTGGTGGAACTGTTCGCGCCGTTAGTTGCGCCACTGGCAGCCTGAGAGGCACGAGGACGGGATTTTGAACGGGGGAAGCGAGGATGGGGATACCAAAACGAGGAGGCGGATTGCAAAACTGTATTCGGTATAGCCGGAGGTCACCGGAAAGGGAGAGAGCCCGGGATAGATACAAAAGTAGACAATCCTGTATCGCTGCGAGCTGCTCGCGAAGCCAATACTGATGACTGACACGCGACTCTTTGGGGCTCCCTGTTGGCTGCATTGCGTTGTCTCTACTGCGTGCAAATAGCAGGAGGTGGTTGTTTCTAAAAAGTTGCCGACAGTGTAGAACAAGAAAGGAGTAGAGTAAAAAGTAGCGGCTACCGAGCATTTTATGTGCGAAGAAGAGTCTGGAGTGCAAGGGGGAGCTAAAGGCGTTTGAAAAAAAAGGTTGAGGTCAGCGCACCTGCTGCAACGTGCAGATAAGTCGAAGTCAATACGGAGCTCATTCATGGTTACGCCTGCCGCAAACACTGCTCGTCACTACAAAAATTGGAGGTTAAGAGATTGAACTACGTTAGGGTTTGGAGTGAGAGCGCGAGGCGAGTGGCAGGTATGATTGTCGTGGAAGTGAAACAAACCGCGCAGCAGTAGGTGCTGTAGGGATGTTTGATAGGCATAGGTGAAAGGTGAACTCTCTACCCTCCCAAATCCGCAAGGGCAATCCTCTTCGAGGTGTTTACCCGCCATAGCCTGAAAAGAATGGCGGTTCTTGAATAACCTGGAAAATCCGACACTGAAACAATATATTTCGACCGGTCATATCCAGGTCGTGTTTTCGTACGCGGCTGCATCTGTGTTCTCTGCTATGGCCACTAAAAATTCACAGCCCGATATTCTGCATTTCTCTGTAGACCGGATTCTCTTCCGTGCAACGTGTTTGTGATTGAAAGGTTCTGGTTCCATTCTGTAGGATACCCATGCCAATGTGTGCTTCAAAACCCGTCCTACCCTGAGAGTGCACGAGAAGCCTGGAGGAACCACACCACCCTCTCGTCTGAATTTCCCGCCCTCCGAAATCGGGGTTTTGGTTAGGTGAAGTGAGGGGGAAACTTGTTTATCGTTTTCCGCTGGAAAGAACCTGGCATCTGTGTACACCTAAGTTTATTGGCCACCCAAGTTTACTGTAATGGGAAAACGTGCAGACTGCACATGTGTACACGAGAAAAAAAAAACACGAGACGAGAGCGGGCAATAAGCTATTCTAATAACGATAATCGTATTGTTGTGTTGTGGTTCATGGTGATGTTGCGGGCAGATCGTGGAAGAGAGGATTGCCCTGGAACTGTTCGCCTGAACAGGTTCGTCCTCGATGACATGACTGGGAACATGCATTCTCGATAGTGGCTACCGAACTTCTGCAACGTTTCCATCTCCTACTTCCAGTTTTGCAAGGAACGACTATGCATTGACCTACCAAGATTGACATCAAAACAACGAGCAAGGATTGCATTGAAGGTGCAAAGAAATAGCATGAGCTAGCAGTACAAAGCAAAAACAAATACGTATGCACGAAAACGAGCTAGGCTATGCAATGCGACAACAACCGCGGACGCGCAGCCACAGTCGTGCATACACTGCCGCAGCCGCACACACACACACACACACCCGCAGCCGCACAGCATCCGCGCATGCAGCAGCAGTCGTGCGCAGCTGTGCATCGCCGCCACAACGCGCGCATAGCCACCGCAGCGTGCGCACACGCTGCCGCCGCAACATCGCTACAGCAGCAAGCATAGTCGCCAACGCCACCTCATCTGCGCACCTACTCCCGTGTCTAACCATACCCATCTATGACTGTGGCCCCAGATCACCTTACTGCCATTGGCATCCTTTCCAGCTTCTGGCAGCCGCACCCCCTCCTAGCGACGCACTTTCGAGTTCAGGGTTTGTGCGAGCCAATTGTTCATAGCTCCGGCCATTCTTAGCTCTGACCATTGCTAGCTCCAGCCATTCCTAGCTCTGGCCATTTCTAGCTCCAACCGTTCATAAGTTCGATGATCCATAGCTCCAGCCATTCCTAACTCCGGCCATTCCTAGCTCCAGCCGTTCCTCGCTCCAACTATTCCTAATTCAAGTTGTACCTAGCTCCGGCCATTCCTCTCTCTCTAGCCCTTCCTAGCTCCAGCTGTTCCTAGCTGCAGTCGTTCCTAGCCTGGTTCTTCTGGCCTACCGCTCCCCGTCCATGCTAGCTCTCGCCACGGCGACTCCTAGGGTCCTGCGTTTCAATATGGAAGGTATAGCGTTAGAATATAATACCTTATTGCTGCACGTTGAGCTTTACCTCCAGAGCCAGCGTCGGGATGGTGGCACGCTCTGGGCCCACGCGTCGGGTGGCCTGCCTGCCCCCCTCCTCCCCCCCCCCCCCCCCCCCCGTGGCCTGCCCGTCCGCTCAGCCCACTGACGGCGAGCATGAGAGTTTTACTTGGGATCGCGGGGCCTACTTGGTGTGGCAGTCTCATCACGTTGCGGCTCACCTCGCTCTCAGCAGCCTCCTCCCGGAGGCAAAGGGAGTACACTTCAGCTAGGTCAAGTCTGCCAAGGTCGGCTTTGTCGCCATAATCACTCGCTATTCTATTCCTTTCTCCTCCTCCCTTGGCGACCTCCTCTTGCCTTTCTTCTTCCCATACCTTGTTGCGTTTGAGACTACGACTGGCCTAGTCACCCACCTCTGCTCTCTCGACTCCAATTACCATGCTTGCTGTACCCCTAGCAGGCTCACTGCCATCCCCACGCCTATGTTTGCCACCCTCTATTTCATTGTAATCCGCCTCCCTGACCGCCTTGCCTCTACACCCAACGCATTGCAGCAGAAACATCCCTCCGAGCTTACCATGAAACTTATTGAGACCACCCTCAATGAGATCGAAGGTAACCTCCACTCCACTGCCTTAGCCGCTACCGCACCAGTTTTTCGTCTCTTTGAGGGGTGTGCAGTGCCCCAGCAACGCATTGCAGCAGAAACATCCCTCCGAGCTTACCATGAAACTTATTGAGACCACCCTCAATGAGATCGAAGGTAACCTCCACTCCACTGCCTTAGCCGCTACCGCACCAGTTTTTCGTCTCTTTGAGGGGTGTGCAGTGCCCCAGCTTCCCACCTTCTCCGCTTCTCTTGCTGCTGATGCTGCATCGTCTGCTACTAGAGACTGTAGCTATTTTTCCCCTCTGGTTGGTAGAAACAAGGCAAAGGAGGTAAGAAGGGGGGAAGGGTGATGGTGATGGTGGTGATGGCGGTGGTGAAGGTAGGTGGCGGAGGTAGTGGCGGTTATGTTACGTATGGTGGAGGTGGCACCGGAGGTGGTGCCGGGCCTGCGGGTCCGGGGGGAGGGGGCACTGGCCCTGGAGGTGGGGGGGGAGCACAGTAGCACCAGCAGTCATAGCAACACCAGTAGCCATAGTAGCAGCAGCCACAGCAGGTGCAGCCGCCGCAGCAGGTGCAGTCGCAGCAGCAAGTACAGGGGCAGGTGCAGCGAAGGTGCAGTTCGAGCAGTGGGGACCTCCGCAACAGTGGGGCCCTCTAGCAGTGGGGTCCTAGTGATTCGGGGAGTGTTGGCCGCAGCAGCGGCCCTACCAGTTGGGAGCCTCGTCGCGCTGGCCGCGACGTTGCCCCCCACGACTACAGGATCCATACAGGTCCCAGTAGGGACAGTGTTTGCGAGTGCCTCTACCACTTTGCACTGCGCTGTGGCATTAGTCTTGACAACCTCTTTCTTCTATGCTACGGAACAGATGTAGTCACCCCTTCTTGGCGAGTTCTGAACTCTCGTGGCTACCGTATGTTTGATATGACCATGGATGATGCTTGTTCTGCCATGTATGCCTTTTTTTACTATTGTACTGATGGATCTGTTTGCTCGCATATCCCTAGCCTATGATCTTTGCCTTTTGCTAGTGTAGGGGTTTATGTTACCAGCATAGGTGTGCCTGCTGCTGATGCATCACTCTCGTTCACGCTTGACTCTGGCGCCAATGCTTCTGATGTGACCGCACCATTGTCACATTACTTCCAGCACTAGTCTCATTTGCCCTGGCTGATCCCACTTATGGACCAGCCATCGCGCACAGTTCTACCACCCTCCCATGCTCGGGTTTCCCCTCTGGCTCCCTCACTGGTCTCCATATCCCTTCGTTCTCCAGGAATTTGGTGGGTGTTGGACACCTTCAATACCATGGGGTCATAGTCACCTTTCCTGCATATGAGAGGTTTACGACCTGTACGGATGTTGCTACTGGGTCTCGTATTGCCACGTTTTCTTGAGAGCCTCACTCAGGCCTCTTCATACAGCACACTGCGCCCCCCCAAGTAGCTGCGTCTAGTCAGGTTGTTGCGACGTGCTCCTGTCAGTCACTCACCTGCATGTCAATCTTGAGGCACCACCGCCAAATGTCTAGGCATGGTCTTGTTCAGGTCTCCTGCACTTGCTTCCGTCACTCCCTCCTTCACTTGCACCACAGCGCACTCCTTGCGTCGAGGGTAGGCTTCACGTCGCCCCTCGCTCCTCCTCCTTTGCACCAGCCATCGTGCCCCTTTGAACTTTGCACTTATACATCTGGGGCCCCGCCCCACTCACTAAATCAAGTCAGGAGCACTTCTTTATGGTGGCGGTGTTCCCCACGTGGCAGAGAGCACACATGGTTGATGGCCACCAGTGTGAGAGGATCGAATGTTCAGTTCAATATGTACTAATTATCACTTGGGTATGGTTGTGACTATACATAGGCATGATCCAAGGCAGGTAATCGTGGGGTTACTAGAAGGTAATGGGGCTCTAAAACCGAAGGGAATAGAACCTTAACAAACTCGGTAGAGTCATTCGGTGATAATCATTCGCATGGCAGATGTCGTGATATAAGAGCGAAACCAGTAGCATAAGATGCTCGTAATCCTATTCGGTGCAGAATATAAAATAAGAATAATGAAGCAACGAAGTACACTGAACGAAATAATTGTCCGCATGCCAAGATATATGGATGGAAAATGTGCATTAGTTGCTACCGTGTTTAAGCCTTAATCAAAGGGCGCCACAAGGTTAAAACCCGGAGGGTTGTACGTGGAAACACAAGGCTACATGGACATTAACTCGGCTCAGCAACCTGCAGGAAAGGAATTAGGCAAACAGTGTCATATGGACAGTTTCTTACAAATACAGTCATGCATGCAAACCAGGCTGAATCTAGTACTCGGTCCAGCGACCCTTGGCCTTGAGCACAGCGCGCACACGCCTGGGCATGATGTCGATCAATTCACTGCAACAGGCCGCGGGGATTTTCTCCCATTCCACTTGAATTCTGTCCCACAGCTCGAGAATGCCTGCAGGTGGGTGGGGGTAAGCAACCAGCTGCTTCTTCAAGTAAACCCATAGGTGTTCTATGGGGTTATGGTCCGGACTAGATGCGGGCCATGGGAGAACAGAGTACGGCTGCTCTGCAAGGTAATTTTTTACCAGCTT